CCTCCATAGGTTCAGAAAATGACACTTTGGCAGACACATTAATGTCTTTTGGGCTCAGCCCATATTTCCCAGGAGACTGAGTTCAATTGCAGGGTAAAAGGAAAAGGAAAAAAGAAAGTAATAAGGAAAGATCTGACCCAGTTGCCATGACACACCAAAGGCAGGACAAACACTCCAAAGAGGATGTCACATGAGGAGAAGAGAGAGCAGTAGAGAGAGGTGTATGACACGTCCCTGGGTCAGATGGTCACTGCTATGTCTCCAGCACCTTTAAGCTATGTCAGCTGTCCCACCATCAGACCCATTGTCATGTCATTTATTCCTGGGGAATTGGAACAGTATTTGGGAAAGTCAGGCTGATGACTGACTGCAGAAACTGGGCTTCAGGGCAAGACTGCCAGCACTCTGACCCAGCTGCTCCCCTTTTAGGAGTGTGAAGCCAAAGGGCAATTGATATCATTCCTCAGGAGGCCTTTGCTTTTCTTCTGTAAGTACTGGTGATTTTGCTCCCTGAGCACTGCAATTGGTGCCAGGCAAACTCCAGTGCTGTGAGCATTTCAGGCATGAAGATCTTTCTCATTATAAAAGAGCAGTTGTTTTCTTTCTTTGTTGGTTTGTGGTTCTTCTGGATACGAACAAAAGCTGGGTTCAAGTTGCTCGGCATTAAAGTCTGATTAAAATAAATCCTCTAACTCAAACAAAATATATCCGTTCTTTGATACAGACTGACAGGATATGTGCCATCCATCCCAGAGCAAACTGGAACCCAAATTTCAACAAGGGTGAGCTCCTCTGAATTCACATACAGGGTTTTTGTGGCCAATGGTACAGCAAGAGGTGACAGTGCTAAAACCCCCAGTTCTTTCCTTGAAGGCCCAGGTTCCCATTGGAGATGCTCCAGTTGTGGACGTGCTGTTCCAGCACAAGACATGGGCATCAGTGCGTATTTTAGTAGCTGCATCAATGTTCTTGTGGGAATCAGGGATGGGGGCATGGCATGGGGTGAGCTGCTGAGGCCACCAGTTTCACTTCAGAAATGATAAGCATCACCAAGGTTGGTCTGGCATTCACAGAGATGTTCAGGTTTTAAGCAAACAGAGAGCAGAGGCACCATCTGTGGGATGGGAAATGAACCTGCCACTTTGTCTTTGCCAAAACCACATTTAAAAACCTTTCTATAAACCAGTTCCACAGAACTCTCTTCAACACCTTCAAGCTGCCTGAACCACAATATTATTTAAGATTCCCCCCCTCCTTTTTTTTTTTTTTTTTTCTGGGCAACTGCCACCAAGCAAAATAAACAATCTGATGCTGAAAGGCTTCCCCCACTTCACACAAGAAAGGAAGAGCAGCAAATCACGGCGGTGTCTGGCTCTGAGCTGCCTGGTAAGCTCTAGGACGTTTTTACTGACAGCACGTTCTCAAGGAAGGTGTGAACAGCAGTGGAAGAGCTCCTTATAAATCTGGAGAGTCCACCCCCTCCTCAAGCTGAGCTCTCCAAAACACCAGTGCCTATTTCCAGCCACGTGACTCGGCAGCTACTGACAAAATGAAGAAATGAGGATGCTTTTGAAGCCAGTGAATGTTCCTCAAGATGTTTTCCTTCCTGCACACACACGACCAGTGAGACAAAGCGAGAGGAAAAGCAAGAGAAGCACAGCCATTTTTGGCGATGGTTTCAGACGTTTATATTGGAATGTGAACATTTTTGCTTCCATCCTAGCTTCTCCTTCTGCTCGCTGCTACAGGGAACAGCATTTGGATGGCACTGCACTCTGCTGCTGTAATGATGGGGATGTCACTAATTTAGCATTTAGACTTCACTGACTATAAAACAGGAGGGGGAAATGGGCTGCAACTATGATAAGGAGCAAACTGCGTCTGGAACACAAGTACACTTGAAAACTGGGAGGGAAAAGGGGAAATTAGAAACGATCAGCTAACAGCATCTTTCCAGCAGTCAGCATCATGGTGAACATGTAGGATGGTTACAGGGCCACCAGCTGCTGACCCCTAGGATTTTGGCCAGGTTGGGCATCTCTCTGGCATTTCCATGCTTTGCAAGTTGCACTTAGCCATCATAGGCTTTTTCACAGATCTGCCCATTTTTGCTGCTGAGACCCTCTAACACTTCTGAGGCTCAAGAAATCATTGTAGGCCTGTATTGAAATCTTACCCTGGGCTTAAGGCCCTGATTGAACAGTGACACCTTCCTAAAATCTGACATTTTAGAGCATGAGGATAACCCTGTTAGGGGAAGAAAGAAATGCATGGGAAGCAGATTCCCATTGCAACCCATTCAGTAATGTTTCCTGATAAAAGGGAGGGGAGGATGGAGAGAAGGCTCAGCCCTCAGTTCTTGCTCAGGTCAAGCCTCAAGCTCAAAGATATCAAAGAGGTTTTTTTTCAACTTTGCCTGTATGGAGAAAACAGTTGCATCAGAAAATACCAAAAAGCCACACCACTCAGACTCTATTCACCTGGAAGGAAGGAGATTCGAATGCAAACTGAGCTCAGACAGAGATCTGAGATGAGCAGTAAGGGGCTGCTGACACCAAGCCCCCAGTGCTACCTGCCTCCTACTCACTCCCCATGTAAAGCCAGATGCAGCTTTGGGGGAGCTGCCCAGCCCTGTAGGGCTAGGGGTGAGGTGCTCAGGACGGGAGGCCCTACCCTCATCTTGGATATGCTCTCCAAACTCAAAGCACCTTTGTGAAACCTCCGGAGTGTTTCCTGAAGCTCCCCAGAACCTGCCAGATTTCCTACATACTTTCCAGGGAACCCAAATTCACCCAGACTGGAGTGTGAAATCTTATTTTCCAGTTCTTTGCTCATATTTAATGAGCCGTCTCCTGCGTAACCTCCCTCGGAGAACATTTTGAAGTACCATGTACTTCCTTCCCCCTCCTCAACCAGCACAGTCAGCCTCTGGCACGAACCCCAACACCTATCTTCCCAAACTCTGTTGCCAGTATTCAGTACCACAATTCAGATACAGACTGTGTTGGCCTTCTCTTCAGAGGAAGAGCCCCCCAAAAAGGTCAGAAGTGCAGCAAAGGGCACCTACCCTGCTGCTTCTTTGGGAGCAATCCGAGCTTAATGTGAGCTGCTGCTTGTGCTGAAGAGTCTCTGGGAGCCTCAACGACTCTGCCCCTAAAGTAATGCTCCATTTTCCCCCTAACTACTACTGACTGATTAAATGAACCTCGGCGTACAGCAGGTCTTCGCTGCTGTTGTTATTTTCTGTGTTACTGTTTTTTGGATAAGATATACTTAGGGAAAACACTAGAGATCTCAATTAAGCAGCTGGGTGACTTATAAATATATATTTATGTTTGAAGCCTAAGTGGCCATTGGCTTCCCTACTGTTTTACTTAGCTAACAAAACAACTCTATCAAAGTAAGTATTATTCCAAAACCCAACTTCCTGTGCAGAATGCTCCCATGTGCTCCATCAGTCTGCTTCTCTGATGAACTACATCGTTTCTTATAAACTGTCCATGGCCCATAAATTTCCAAGCATAAAGGCTATTACTGTGCTGTGCAAATCTGCTGAGAATTTTATCCTTATAACTTCATTTCATTCTGTTGCAAATGAGTTTGGTAAGAAAGTTAATCTGCAAACTTTTTTTTTTTTTCCCCTCCTCTTCTGCTTTCAGTGTTATTTTGATTAGTGACACTCACTTGATTTAGTCCTGAGGTGGGTTTTGTTTTGACTGAGTTCAGTTCAACAGCCTCTGCCTCAAATTAGCTCCCTTACACTCAGGAAAAAACATCTCAAGTGTTCCTTTCCCCAAAATCTAAAAAACAAAGTTCAGAATAAATGACAGATGAAAGCAGATCCGAGTTTGGTTTTGGGCCACCTAGTAATAAATACTGCAAAGTGAGCACATTTTGTGAGCCGAATAGAAGACCCACAGGTATACTCTATAAAAAATGTTTTTTTCCTTTCCATCCCCAGCCTCAGCGAAGTGGGAAACTAAGGATTTCTTTTGTGTGTGCGTGCAAATGGAAACCTCTTACTCATGTTTTGCTTGTTTTAGCTCTCGCGATTGCCTGTTTACTTTAGGACTCCTGTTGTCATGTGGAGCAGACAAATCTTCGAACAAATTGCAGTCAAAAAATGACTGGATTTACCATTGGGTGCAGCACGAGGCTTGTGCTTCCCCTGGCTTGATTCCAATTTACGTAACAATACAAATTAGACTTGCTCAAGGCCATTGGAGAGGTAGGGGGGAAAAAGATGAAATAAGCCATAACTCTCACGGCTTTCTTCCTCTAAGTCCCAAGAGCAGCCAATCACAAGCAATAAGGAAAAATAATGGGAATAGGGACTTTCTGATATCTTGATTCTGGAGACTTCATGACTACCTTGTACTAATTTGATTATGCTCAATTTAAGGGGATTATTATTGACAGATACCCCAGGAAATATGACTTGGAAACACTGTGCTACCTTGGGATATCACCAAACATTTGACATCGGGGAACTGAAACAAAAACAGATGTTTTAGGGAATAAGCAGCTTGAATATATCACTCATAAACCAATTAAAAGTTTCTGCAGCAAGCTGACATTTCCCATGAAGCAAGCAATGGGAGTAAACGCAAATCGGTTGGCTGCAAGCTACGGAGCAATTCCCAGCCACAGCCGTTATTTTTATTCCTTTTTTACTGCTTTGAAAAGGATGCTTGGCTTAAAAAAAATGCAAAAAGTGATAAGAAAACAACCTCACCTTGTCACTTCCTAACCTAGAATCTGCCTTTTCCCCTTCACACTTCCATTCTTTGCTCATTAAGCAAAAAGCGATATATTCCCGCTATTGTTGGGCTCTTTGGCAGAGGCTCTCAGCGATCTATTGTCCGAGGACACTCCAAAACAAGGCATGGAAATTGTTTCTGTTTGTTTCAGGTGTTTTTTTTATCCCCCCCTTTTTTTTTTATCCCCAGGACTCTTTGTCCCCCCCCTCCCCCCGCCCCCCCTTTTGCAGACCCAAGCAAAAACATTTAAGCACGTGCTTAACTTTAAGCATTAAAAAGTCAATGGGATTTAAGCATGTGTTTAAAGGCAAACATATGCTTTAGAGCTATACTGAATAGGAGTGGTTTATTGAATCAAGGCTATAGACAGGTTAATAAAATGGGTTAATATATGCAATCTGGAAACAAAAATTAAGCAACGTGTTTCTAGAATATTAACATTACAAGCACTGCCTCATTCTAACTCAATTCCCCAGATTACTGCTGGATTCGTAACGCCCTTGACACTGTCGATCTCTCGTTTCTTGAAGAAATGCAGATTATTGTACCAGATTATAATCAGCTGACTAACACACAGCTCCACGCCAATGATTTTATCCAGAGCAATTCAAAACGATGTGATCTCACTTCAAAAGGAGCTCGTCCGCTAAAATTCATTTACAAAAAAACAGATCTTCCGCATCTTTCCACATAGCCGCATATCTACAATTCCCCCTTTATAAATACCCACGTGATGTGAATAAGGCGTAAAAGACATTGCACTGTTCTTCAGTATTTGCTCTGGAAGTGGATCCACATAGGCGCTTTGCTCTGTGACAAAAAAGTACGAGTTTGCGCTCTCAGACATTTCTTTTCAATAGATCCTAAAACCTACTGTGAATATTTAAGCCAAGAGTAATAACGTGGTGTCAGATACTCACAGTATAGAGCAGTAACACTCCTCATTTTGACATCTGCCCAGACAGATGTTTAGAACGGAGTTCCTCGGATTCTTTCTTCTTCATTATTTATTTATTTATTTAAAGCTGGATGGAAAAAATCTGGGAATCATCTTTTATATCGAAGCTACTTAGTACAATTTAACTGTCAACAGTTTAATTCATTCAAATGTAGACTTACTGTGGAAGCCAACAACTCGCATAAGCCTTCCACTAAAAACACGGGGAGGAAAAAAAAGAGAGCCTCCCAAAATTTAGCCAGCAAAATCCTGACCCCACGGGGGATTTGACCACGTTTACAGGAGACACGAGGCGTAATGCTTTAAAAATCACAGTGTTTACTGGCAAAATGATCTTCCCATGGGCAACCTCAACACTGATGCTTAATAGACATTTTGCCACTCTTCTCCTTCTAACGGATGGCACTGATTCTTCATCTGTTTTGCCCGTAAGTAACACCTCTGATAAACATCAACATGCATTCGTGCTTAAAGCAGTTACAGAGCGATCTTTTTATTACTCCCCATGTCTTGTGATTTCTGGGTTTGAGATTCATGTTGAAACGTGCACATTACCACATGCTGACTGCCAAATTCATTACAATGTAGATCATGTTTTAGTGATATTCCTTTAAACAAAGTTAGCTTGATTTTTAAGTGCTTGCTGGTTAGCTTATTTATTATGAAGATTTGTCAGGCAGCACAGTTAAGTTAATCAGTAACCAATAAAAGATTTAAGTTCAGAGATATAAACTGCTTGATTTATTACTCACAAAGGTTTTTGGCTCCTCAACAGGAACTGAGGAAAACATGTTGTTACAGTTACTTTGGAAACCGATACCTTTTTATACCCTACTAATAGAGAGGAATCCGAGAGGGGAACCTACGGTTCCCAGTTACGCGAACAGCGTTTTCCGTGCTATGTAAATACAGCCACAACACAACTCGCCTTGTTAGGCAACCCCGTTAGGGACTCAGGGATCTGTTTCACCCTTCGCATCAGCAGCTCTATCTCGCCCTGTGCTATGTTGCTTCCTTGTTTATAATTTTTGCAATCTTCAACAAAAATCAATCTGACCGCACTGTTTTCCAAGTAAAGGTGCCATCTGAAGGGTACTTACAGCAGCAGTGTTGCGTTACAATCTTCTCCATTATGTAAATCCCAAAGAAGAAAATCGCAATGTCAAATACAGTTAAAAATGAACATAAACTATCCCGCTGTAATTTTTTTTATCCTACTGAGCACGTCACCCAATCTCACTCCACAGCTGCTCTGGTGAATGTTAAGCAAGTTTTTCCCCTGCCCGTAGTCTATGAGCTGAGCACACAGCGTAATGGCAGCAAGGGCTGCCTGGGATAGGCACTGTGCAGGGTCTTCCAAAGGCCAGTGTCATTTTGGTTCAGGGTGACTGAGGCAAGTTTTCAAAAGCTACTTGGGCACCAAAGCCCAAGTGATAAATTCTGGGGGTGTTTAACCTGAAATTATACTTTGGTTTTAAGATCTCACTTTAGGGTGCTTTAGGGCCAGATACAGTCAAATACAACCGAAACTGGACTGCGAGCATCTCTGCCCATCCTATATGCACCAAATAGAGCATGGATGTCTCAACACCACACAAAAACACTCAGCTTTGCTTCTGAGAGAAAAGATCCACCTCCCCAGCCATTTAGACACAAGTGCTTCTATGTCAGTCAGCCCAAACAGTTCATCAAACTCATGCTCGTGTTCATACCATTATGAACACTCTCCCCTGGCCCCTGCGAGGCTCCAGCTCTGCTTTTGACCCTCCACACACACAGATGCCCCCACACGTATAGATTACCAAATAAATGATGACCAAGTGTGAAGTGCAGGGTCAAACGTGCTCTTCATCAAGGCGTTCTGATGACATCACCATAAACCCAGAGGGCAAAGCTCTGTTGGTTTATGATGTCACCAGCAGGCTCCTCCAGGTTGCTGCCATAGTTCATGGTCATTACTTTCCATCCACAGGAGGCATGCAGCTGAGCCTACCTCCCCAGCTTCTTCCAGCAGCTTTTTGGAGGGTCAAAATGCACCCCTTGGGAAGCGACCAAGGAGGTTCATCAGCTGCAGCTCCTCCCACACGTCCCACCAGCTGGGAGTCACTCATTCCCCTTTGCTCCCTGCATCACAGAAGGGCTCTGATCCACATCAGCTTTCTTTTCATGTGTATATGTAACTATTTTTTGCACATACATATGCACACATATTGCATACATATAGCACATATCCAGCGTATTTTACACACGCACATATATATAATAATAAAATTTGCATCTGCATTCCATCTCTAAATGCATGTTGTGTATCGATGTAACCTATCTGCAGCCAGTGCTTGCTGACGAGAGTGCTCACCACAAGAGCTGGGAAGAGACCCAGCAGGAGGGCAGAGGATATGGCCACCTCCCGTATAGGCTAGATGCTCATTCTTTATACTTTTTATTATTTTGCAGAGGAGGCACAGCTACAAAGGGCTCATTAACCCCCACCATCACCACAGCGGGCAGCAGCCACAAGCCACTGATCTCTGAAAGCTGCTGGATTTCCTGTGCGTGAAGATCTCTGACTACCTGCTATGGGGCAAACCACTGCTTTCCATCACCCTGGAGCAGAAGACGCAGCGAGGACATAGATCTGGCAGGAAAAATACTGGAAGATAGAACCTCCACTCGTCCCCACTGCAGATATAAACTGGGGATCCCGCTCCTGCTCGTATTCATTTCAGAGACAGGCAGGAAAGTGCATCATCTGGTGACTCTGGCACAGCCAGAGCAGCTCACCACAGCTGGATAGCTGATCTGTGCCTCTCGCCTCGCTGAGAGGCCTACCACATGCTACGAAATGCTTTAATGTCCCCTTAACATGCCGTATAAATAATTTCCGTATCCATTCAGCCATGCTCACATGTGGTCCTTTGAAAGAGTTAAGTAAAAATTACAGTACCAATATATCTTTGAGATGAAACAATGACATTTATAGGTCATTGGAATCCATGCATTAATTAATTTTATTTCCAGCCTTTCATATGATCCATATGATGCCTTCTCGGTGCTAAATTTGGCCTATGGGGTTCTATTTTAGCAAAAAGTTTGAAAACTACAGTTGGAGGAAGCTCACCAAGCATCTGAGAGTTACAGGGAAGGGAAGGGAGAGTAAATAAACATGCATTCCCATAGCAACTCATTGCATCCCTTTTGGGTGCAAAAAGTTTTTCCAAGAGAGAATCATAGAATCATAGAGTGGCCTGGGTTGAAAAGGACCACAATGCTCATCTCGTTTCAATCCCCCTGCTATGTGCAGGGTTGCCAACCACCAAACCAGGCTGCCCAGAGCCACATCCAGCTTGGCACTGAATATATCCAGAGATGGGCACCCACAACCTCCTTGGGGAACCTCCTCTGTGTGAAGGAAAGAGGCAAGGCGCCCTGATGTCCAGCCAGGGATGCACCCATAGGCTGGGAATCACTACAGCGATCAGGTGAAAGGTGGTGAGGGAGTATCCCACCTCCCTCCCTCCAACATGTGGACCATGTCCACATGCCCCCTACTCCTTGGTGCCATCCAGAGACAGCTCTCCCTGGGATTCTCTATCTGAGAGCTGCGCAGTGCAAGCATGAGGAGAAAGAGGCCTTTTAATTGGCAACGATTAAATGTTTTGCCATTTAAGAGTTTATTCTATTAGTGATATGAGGGCCCTGATGTGATAATCTCCAATTATCAGTAAGGGAATGGAATGCATAAATCCCACTATGCAGCAACAACAGTAAATTAATGTGTTGGTTTTTCTTTCACAAAAGTAAGTTCCAAGTCCTGCTGCAGAGAGAGGGGTAAGAGGAGATCTCTTGTCCCAGTCACTCCGAAAGCATTTGCAGCTTCTTTGCATAGCTCAGCCTGGTAAACCAAAGGCCTTAGAAAATGGATAGCAAGGCCACAGCCCCATTCCATTCCCAAGAAAGCAGCAGCATTGACCTGGACTAAAGGAGGAATTTCAGGGAAGTGCTTCCCTCTGAAAAGCTGTTTTTGCATCCCACTATGAGCCAGTTGTGTTACAGTGGGACATGCATAGTGCAAATTGCAGCTGAAGCATCTCTAGTCCATCAACCTACAAGAAGATGGATCTAAATCCAAGACAAACCAACAGTGACATGGCTGTACAGGGGTCTGACCTCAGACAGTGCAGGAAGCAGGCACAGGGAGAACGCTGCTTTTAAGGAGCAGAAGGAGAAACAGCTCAACTGGAGAACAAGTCCCAGTATTTTCCACACATCTGTGGATCTCCCTTGCAAATTTTACAGCATCCAGCTGACCCAGAAGATTTCATATTTAGTTAGCCTCTTACACACGTACCTTTATCCACACACACAAGCCAACACAACCAGCAAGAGAAGGAGAGGTTGGATGATTTGGAGGCTGCTTACCTTGCCAAGCTAGAAATGCATGGAGACAAATTAATATCAGTTAATAGAGACAAGCCAGTAGAGCTAAGCAAGTAGACCCCATCCAGAGAGGCAGGTGGGAGTAGAAAGAAGTGTCTTTCTACTCACAGAGAAGAAAGAGGCTCTGTCACTCTTGGTCAGAAGAAGTGTCGGCAAGACAGAGGGCTGCTCAACGCTACTCCTTGGTTTCAGAATTACTGCCTACTTTCTTAACAAATTACTCCATTGACACTACAAAGTAAAGGACTGAGAGTGAAGGATAACACACCAGAGAGCCCCTAGGCTGCTACTTTGGATTGTAAGAGTCTAATTTCAGTAATCTAAAGCAAATTCAGCTTTCTCAAAGGCTGTAATCTAACCTATAAACCTCAGGCCCAGCAAGCATGACCGTGTGCCATCGAAGTGCAACATGGAAACAGCCACTCTATTCAACACCTCCCAAAACCTTTTCTCCCCTCATTATACGGTTGATACCAACTGTCTTTGATAGATGTGTGATGGGAGAGTACTTAGCTCCAGTATGGGCTTTCTTACTCATCTCCTGCTTAGGGCTTTGCACTCACAGCAGTGAGACTTTGGTTTTGTTAGATAGGCTGATGTGTTGTGATTTTTTAAAGGATGTACACCCTTATATTCTAAGCAAAAGACAAGCACTGAGGCTGAAGGGTCCTCCATAAATATGGTTTTTCAGCAGCTGGAGCTATTCCTTGTGGCCCTGCAGGAGGGGTTGAAATCTCCAACCTTTCCACTGGAGCTGTGGGCACAGCAACCTTACTCTGCATCAGCTGAGCAGTGTGCCTTCCAAAGGCAGAACTCAGGCTGCTTTTAATCAGAAAACTCACTTAAGTATATTGATCACCTGACTCACAGCTCACCCACCTGGGGGTAAGCAAGGAGAGGAAGGTGGGACTGGTGCTGCAGTGATACAGCAGCATACTATCAAATGCAGCACAGGGTCACATCCACCTCCAGGCTGCAGCCCCATGCAGCTTGAGGCAAATTTATGGCACATCCCTCCCTGCTGGGGCCATGCCTGGTCCCCTTTGGCAGAACTGGTGGCAAGAACAAGGACCACCCTAATACAGGACTTGTCCTAACACAGGATTGACGACACATCTCCTTGCTTGGATGCTGAGCAAGATCTGCATCAAATAATAATA